AAGGGCTTGTAAGTAACCATTTCACTGTAAGGTCTACACTTGTTGTATTCGGCGCATGTGACAAATACAATTTGATTTATATAGCCGCATCACTCTCAAACACTCATAACTTTAAGACCCAGTCAAAACGTGACTTTCCTGCGTTTTATATTTCCACACTGAGATTGGAATAATACTGTGAAAATGATGATAATGCCCTGTTGTAAGAGCTGTAAGAGAGGGTGAATATCCATAGGGGGAGTAGGTAGCTGAATAGCTACCTGCTTCCCCCTTCACCTGCTAATCCCCCTATGGACACCCCCCCAACAGTCTTTACTCTGCCTCCACCCCAAAGGCCATTTATTTATTAATCACTGCCAGAGTTATGTACATAGTGCTATTTCTATTGTTTTTTTAAATTACCATTTTCATTATTTTATTTCACTTAGTCCTGCATGTTGGAGCTTTGAAGCCTAAGATTTTCACTGTACCCTGCAATCACACCTGTACATGTGACTATTAAACCCCTAAAGGTCGATGTCCACGCCCCCACGTCAATCTTAGCATAATAAAAAAAGCCCCATAAAAATCCCTTCAATTTAAGCTAGATAGTTGTTGTTTTTTTGCATTGGATGCGTCTCAAACCACTGCATCCGCCTATGTCGCACTTCCGCATCTGTGGTGAAAGAGCTAGAGCAGTGTGTCAGACCATGAGACATCTTCTCACAAATTGTCTGTAGAGTCACTCTTATGGGTTAAACATTGAATCTTAAAACGACCACCTGAAATTTCAGTCTGTTTGGGTGGGATGGTGTTTTGGCCTGCCTGGTGACGTCACCAGGTGGTAAATTTGTTAATAGGCCAATAAGAAAGTGTTTCAAACCTCTCTGCCAATAACAGCTAGTTTTCCCCTCCCTACTCCCAGAAAGTTCTAGCAAAATTCTTGCTTGAGAATCTGCTCTTTGCTAAGAAGCTATTTGTTTATTTTTGACTATTTTTATTGCCTTACCTCCATAACTTGCTACATTTGCACACACTGTATATATATTTTCTGTTGTATTTTTGACTTTGTTTTTTTTACCCCATATGTAACTGTGTTGTTTTTATCGCACTGCTTTGCTTTATAATAATAATAATAATAATATGCCATTTAGCAGACGCTTTTATCCAAAGCGACTTACAGTCATGCGTGCATACATTTTTTTTTGTGTATGGGTGGTCCCAGGGATCGAACCCACTACCTTAGCGTTACAAGCACCGTGCTCTACCAGCTGAGCTACAGAGGACCACAGAGGACTTTATCTTGGCCAGGTCGCAGTTGTAAATGAGAACTTGTTCTCAACTGGCTTACCTGGTTAAATAAAGGTGAAATAAAAATAAATAAATAAAAAACAATCACAATAAGGTACTTAATTGTTACCCTCACATTATTTAATAATGAGATAAAAACTGCTGCATTGGACCTTTAAGACATCCAGCTCTCGAAAACACTGTCACATTTGATCAAAAGTCATTTGGTGACTCTTCGACAATAAAAAAAAAAAATCAAACACATGGAATAGCCTGAGCCCCTGGTTAAATCCATACGGGTAAGTATGGCCACAATAAGTCAAAATGTTAAACACCTCTACTTATTTACACAGCTCTGTACAAGGCTGAATGACGATGTACAATTTACAAATGACTTAGGTGTATGCGAATTTGCCGATCTACTGCAGGACATCAACGTTGTACTAAATGGGTAAAGCACAAAAAATGTCTATAACAAATTATCAACAGAAAAAAAATGACAAATCAGAGTACTAAATATTATACTACTATTCAATGTTCTGTGCTTTTCAAATTGTGCATACCGGAAATCTCTACTAACAACATAAAAGACAATGATTAAGCCCTGTCTATGGGAACAAACACTTCAACAAAGGTGGCCAGGCCATTCAAGGTGGTTTGAGTTAACGCCATCACCACATTTTCCAACCATGTGTCATAAGCATATTTCAAGACACAATAACATTTTATATCGCAAGATGTAAAAACAAGCCTGGTAAATGAGCGAAGCATGCATCAAAAGCTGTCAGTCAAAATGACCACAGGGCAGAGTTTTCATTTATCTCACTTCACATCCAAATAATTGAGGTGGGGTGCTATCAATTGTTTTAAAGGGATTAAGTATAACACAAAAACATGGGTATCATACATAATGACATACTGGAATAATGCTACATATTGAAACAGATAATTTAAAAGAACAAACAGGGGACTTGAGTGTCCCAGCAAAACAAACGCATTAAAGTCAGTATTTATCTATACACACCTACACTCTCAGCCACACACAAAGCCAGTCTCACTCTCTAAATCGACACAATTCACGTTTGTCAGGCTTGTACACAATCAGACAGCATTCACATACAGTACTCATACAGTAGCAGACCCAGTACGCTCTTGTATAAAAAAAAGTGGAGCTCTTCCAAAGGGAAACTTTTAGACGCTTTTATTCCACCATTGCAATACAGTTGAGGAATGATTAACAAATGAAAAGTCATTCAATAACTATAGACCAATTGCTTCAGTGAGCCAAGCTTGAAGGAATTCTAAAAGGCAACCTGCTTTAATACAAAAATAAAGTTTGTGCGTTTTTCTTTCTTCATGTTTAGCATTCATTGCCACTATTTAGCCAAATCATGCCCCACACACACACATTCACACACTTCTCTTACAAACACTAACTGTCTCGAACAGGAGAGGTTCTGATTAAAAATTAGTATTCAAAATCCTAGTTCTGTCTCAAGAGGGGCGGACCAATTAACAACTGATTCAACACCCGAGGTAATTTTTGTAACCTACATGGTTATTAAAGATGTTTAGCGCACAACAAAGAGGTTAGGTTTCACTTGAAAGAAGACAATACCCCTCCAGTTCCTTTAGTCCTGAGTTTCGATCCAGCATTAAATGACAAGAACACCTCTCCTGTTGTGCACATTTGTGGATCTAGTTGTATAGTCACACCCAACACATTCATCATTAAATTGTTAAAAAGTCAACAAAACACCTTACCTCACCCATTGGACTTGCAGGTAAAACCCATGTCCGGCACTACCAATATGCCGCCATTCACCACATTATTTCCTCCAAGCCAGACTCACCGAGGCAAAAACAGTAACAAGCAAAAAACACCAGAAAAGACTTGAAGGGAATCATACAAGGGAGGGGAAAGCGGTTTGACTGCTGAAGGCGCAAGTATGTCCATCTTCAATGCATAAGAGGGGAGCATGTGAGCACCAAGCTCAGTTCGTCTTATAAATGCACTCAGCTTTGTCTTGGTAGTATACAGATGCAGGCTATTGTGGTACAGTGCCCAGATGTTTCTAGTTTCTGTCATGGCCAGTCAGAACCTAATAATAGATCTTATGGGGCTATATGTGTGAAGGTGGGGGCTGGCTTTCAAGACAGATAAATTGTTCTGTGCCATATTGGTGGGGAACACTTACAACGCCATATTTAACTGATCAAACAGGGTCTTTAATCAAGACTGTGACTAGTTAGATCTGGTGTTTCAGTGCTGGGCTGGGGGAAAACCTTGCATCTCCTATGGCTCGCCAGGATCACCATACCCATTCCTCCCATAGCATACAACTGCTCTGATTGACCACATTCAAAATGCATCCTTACATCCTCTCCCTTGAAGTAATCACTAGGTTAGGATAAGTGGAAGCTGCAGTAACTAACTTTTACCCATCCAATGGAATACAATCCTCAGAAGTTACTTCAAGGAAAGGAGGAAGGATTTGTTAACATTCTCAAACAGTGCACCGATCGGTCTTGCATGTCCCCACCTCCCATCTTCACTATGGCGATAGCAGGATTAGAGAGTGGGGAAAAGGACTTAGAGGTGGTAGAAGAGAGAATATTTTGTAGGTCAGGCCTTTGGTTTTTAGCGCAAGTCCAGGGTAGCCCATTTACACCAACACAATATTGACCCACGAATGACTACTACCCTGGGACTCCACATGATCATAATGCCATCCCCAGATCGGTTAAACATAAATTATCTATATCAAAGGATTTTCTTGTTCACCTTATTCTGTCATTCAGGATCAAACGAGCAGAACAAATTCCATTGTAGGAATGCTTCCCAGTGCCCGTGACAATGTACAATAATACAAGGGCATCTCTGAGACCACTACACTAAGCACTCATTCAAAACACAGGTAGGCCTAACTAGTTTGCCCTTTTAAGTGCAGAGATGCCACATACCATTCTTCATTAACTGAGTGAAACAGCCTTTAGGAATCCAAATTGAAACGCTTTACATGCAAAATAAACGCAATTCATTATCTCAGAACTGTCAACATCTCCTATACATTATGGTTGCCATGTACAGCTGGATACGTCCACACAGATCATAATGTACGTGAATTTTGACCGTGGGCATACATCCAAAAAACCTGTTCAGCCCTTGTATAGCCGTTAACACACAGCCCTGCTCAGAATTGTATACAAAAACAGAGTGAGTGAGAAGCATGTCTCGATTCGAATGTACCACGTCGGATCTGAACAAAACCTGCTCTGTTAGCAAATCAAAAACTGGTGATAAACAGGTGTAGTAGGGGAAATCCAAAAAGCGGGGGGAAAAAAGTTGTTGGAATTGGATATGCTACACTTAAAGTCAAATGGATTTCAACAAGTCTTGTCTTTCAAGTATAATACATTTTATCGTTCTGCCTCCTATCCCCCTTTTCTTCCCTCCCTGGGAGAGTGGCTACACTGTCAGAGCAGTAGGCATCCTAGGAGGGGTGTGTGCTCCTCTGCTAGCCTTGTACCACAAAGCGGGCCAGCCCAGGCCGGCCAGGGGAACAGGAGGGTAGGGGAGGGATGTTGGTCTGACTGGGGTTACAATGGAAAGCAGTGTTAGCCATAGCAGCAGTTCAGCTCCTCTGGAGGATGTCATGGGCGTCGTCCATAGCAGTGCTGAATGGGTAAGGGCTTCCAAGCCATTCCATATGCTACCTGCCCTGGCTAGGCTACTTCTTCCTGGGGTGCTGCCTTCGGGCCTGTAGCCTCTGGCGTGCCCCTGACGTTTTGGAGCCAGCGCCAATGGAGAATGAGGGAGCTGATGGAGAGCCTGGTCAACAAAAAACACATCAATACAAAGACGCACCTGGCTGTTGACTATAACCATTGCAGCTTCTCAGTCAGGAAGAAACACAGACTATGCTTTTTGCTGCACACTTCAGACAGAAGGCTGGAGAATCAGAATCAGAATCAAGCTCTAGTTATTTTCTTACCGAATGCTGAGGGTGCCAAAGCACTGAATCCTTGAACTGGAGTTCCTGGGCTTCCAAAGGGGATAGGACCTGCAGCTGTGCTCTGGCCAAAAGTAGGGGTAGACGTCCCTGTACAATAAATGAACAATTAGAGCTCACTAACTGTAAATCGCTCTGGATAAGAGCGTCTGCTAAATGACTAAAATGTAAATGTAGAATAAAATACATCTATTAAAATTGGCCAATACTGTAAAATCTCACTGCCACCAAAACGCAACATTGAACAACATCTGCGATTTTTTTTAAATCATAAAATTCAGTAAATGAGTTTTTGCATTATATTATACTAAATCTACTGACCGAAGGCTGGCTTGTCACTAGCTGCAGCCCCAAAGTTGAAGCCTGGCGTCTGCGTTGTGAGATTGGGGGTTCCAAACTGAGTGCCTGAAATGGCTGCGCCAAAGTTGAATCCTCCGGTGGCTGGCTGGGCAGGGGTAGTGGGGGCCTGCTGTGCAGACACACCGCCAAATGAGAAGTTTGGGGTGGAGGCTGGGAGTGTGCCGGCAGTCTGGGTGCCAGAGCCAAAGGCAGGGGCTGCTGGGGAAGCTGTGGTGTTGCCAAATGCAAAACCTGTGGAGCTGGCTCCAAATGCCAGCTTAGTGGGGGTCCCAAACGTAGAAGCCGCCGTAGTGGCAGCTGCGCCAAAAGCGAAGGGGGCAGGGTTGGCCCCAGCTCCAGCTGACCCAAATGTGAAAGGATTAGCTGCTGCAGTAGCAGCCGGGGCCTGAGTGGCGCTGGGGAACGCCGATGCTGCCGGGGCGTCGAACGACGACTTCCCAAACGTGAACGTGGACTGGCTTGCAGGTGCTGCAGCAGTAGTAGTGGCTGCAGTGGCCATGCCAAAGCCACTGAAGGATGCAGTGGTAGAGTTTTGGGTGGCTGCAGCCTGGCCAAAGGTAAATCCCCCAAGGACGGTGGCTGGGGGGGCAAGTTGAGTGGCAGCAGAGGTGGTGGTCATAGCACCAAACGAAAAGCCGTTGTTGCTAGTGGTGTTGGCGGCTGCAGTGGAGCTGAGGGTGGGTGCAGGAGCTGTGGTGGAGGTGGCGCCGAACTGGAAGGTACTTCCTGTGGCAGGGGCAGTGGTCGTGGCAGAGGTCATTGCAGGCGGCGCACTCCAGTTTCCAAACAGAGACTTGACAGGTGGCGAGGCAGCTGGGGCTGTGGAGGGGACTGGGGCAGGAGCGGTGCTGCAGGAAAGCCCAGTGAACAGGGAGGCGGCAGGGGCCATTGTACTGCTGTTGGTGAGCCCGCTGAACAATGAAGCAGACGCGCTGGCTGTGGATGGGGCGGAGGTGGCGGCTGGCTGTCCAAAAGCACTGGTGGCTGTGGCACTTCCAAATATGGGCTTAAAGGTTGGGACAGCAGGTGTGCTCTCTGGGGCTGAGGAGGCTGGGGTCGAAGCCCCGAAGATGGGTTTGAACACAGAGGCCAGGAGGGGATTATTACTGCTGGTGGTTTCTGTGGTGGCAGTTGAGGTGGGGGCCAGTGAGGAGGAAGGGGCTGTCAGTGTGTTGGCCAGGCCAAACAGGCTAGCTCCACCCAGTGTGGGGACACTGCTGGGGGCCTTGGTGACTTGGCTCAGCACCTGGGTGAAGGTAGAGTGCATGGGGCTGGCAGGCTGGGAGAGGGAGGTTGGGGCAGACTGGGAGTTCGAGGCTGGTGTGGGCTGAGGAGCAGTTAAGCTGGTCTCAGACTTCTGCTCTGCAGGCACCAGTGGTGCAGGGGTCGTAAATGCTTTCACCAAGGAGACAGACTGAGCTGGAGGAAAAAACAAGAGAAAAACAGGCTTATGAGTAACATCAAACGATCTTCACTCAAAGACAACCACCAAAGAAAAGTGTCTCCCAACATTAAATGATTGATATGTGATAACAGACCTGCAGTGGTGGTGGCAGCAGCAGCACTGGCGAGGGTGTTGTTCCTCATCATTTTAAGAGACTCCAGGAGGGGGTTGGCAGTGGTGGTGACGGGGGCGGCTGTGGAGGGGGCGGCTGCGGAGGTGGGGGCTGTGCTGACTGTGCTTGAGGAGACAGGGTCCAGGTTGATCACAGGGATAGGAGCTGCCACACTGGCAGGTGTCGATATGGGAAGAGGGCTGGCCAGCAGGGTGGCCAGGGTGGGTGTGGGGTCGCTTGACACGGGAGGCTGAGAAGATGTGGTCACTACTGGAGCTGGTGCAGACTTCTCTGGAACTAAAAAATGACCCCAAATCAATATTCCATACTTTTTTTGGTTGACAAACTGGTTTATAAAAGTCGTGATTTGGGAATACTCACCACACTCTTCGAGGACAGTATTGATCTGGCTGAGAGCGTCTTTCTTCTCCTGATCCAGGTCTTTCACAGTGATGGTGTAGCCCAGCTCAGGAGGTGGAGGCTGCAAAGACAACATCAATGTTAAGACTCCCCATCTGTCTGATGATTAGCTACGTGTCCCATTTGAGTACATGTTCTATTACGCAGAATTTCTCACCAGAGAGATTTGGTCTCCTCTACGGCTGGACACCAGCGGAATCTTGCGTTTCCGTTTCCCTCTACCGGCAGAGTCTGACGCCACATGGACCTCAGGGGCTGGAGTCAGTTTTTCTGTAACAGAAAATATAGTGCATTGACCATTAATGTGGTGGCTCCAGTTATTTTCAATTATTTAAAATAAAAATGTAAGTCTCTTTTGGGACAAGGCTAAAGCCCTGAGCCTGATCTGGAATACACATGATAAACATGCTCTAACCAGTGGTGGGTGCTGGGTCCGTCAACATCTTGTCAGACCTCGCTGAGGACGCAGAGCTGGGTGAGCGAGCATCCTCTTCCCTGACAGACAAAAAAACAAGGTCAAACTGCTAGTAACAATGGCAGCTCTCATTTCATCACAGGACATAGTGTGAACCTAGAAATGTCTAGAAGGAAGACCGGGTGAATACCTGGGCTTTTTAGAGGCTCTCTCTGGGGTCTGGGAGCGGGACGACCCAGGGCTGGAGAGAGGGGAGAGGCTGCGGGTGGAGGCCTTTTTCCGCTTGAAAACAAACGTGAAAATGAGGGTTAGGTTAAAAGGATACCTAGTCAGTTGCTCAACTGAATGCATTGAACTGAAATGTGTCTTCCGCATTAAACGCAACCCCTCTGAATCAGAGAGGTGCGGGTGCTGCCTTAATTGAAGTCCACTTCATCGGCACCCGGGGAGCAGTTGTTGGGGGTTAACTGCCTTGCTCAAGGGCAGAATGGCATTTTTCCACCTTGCTGGCTCTGGGATTCGAAACCAGCAACCTTTTGGTTACTGGACCAACACTCTTAACCACTAGGCTACCTGCTCTCCCCCGGTTTTCCGACAATACCGCTCAGTGTAGGTCAGCTCTGTCAACTGAACTCCTGGCTGTTGATCCCAACAAGAGGAATACCCAATCAGAGGAGTACTGTCCATCCAAATTATAAAAAGGTACCTGAGCAAAGCCTTGTGAGGAGCTGAGGGAGCTGCGGATGGAGTTGCGGACCGAGCCCAGGGTGCCGCTGGGGGTCAGGCCACAGCTCACAGAGCTGATGGAGGAGGTGCGTGACTTCTTCATCATCGACTCCTCCACCATAGCGTTCAGTCCTCGCTTCAGAGTACCGGGCCTAAAGAGGAGACAGGATTTCAGGAGAGATTGGAGGAGGGGATACAGTATTTGAATAATTAATGATTTAGATATAACTAAACATATCTATATAACACACTGAATGAAAGCAAAGTCGCATTCAAGTGTAATATCAGGACTTGAATTATGGAGAGAAACTTTTTGTACTGGCATTGCTCATACTCACTTGGGCACCAGCTGTGTAGGAGCTCCATTGGGCAGCAGTGGCTCAAATGCCGAGTGAGCACTCCCACTGCTGTCATGGCGCCTAAGTGAACAAAGAGCAGGTGTATGTCGTAAACCGTCTTCAAGAGCCACACAATACCAAGAGAGACACTGAAGCGTGAGAAGAACAGTACGTTGTATACAATAATATTTAATCATGTGGTAGTCACATACCTCCTTTTGCACTTTTTCCCTGCAGTGAAGCTCCTGTCATCTTCATCGTCCACCTCTCTCTTGCGGCTATCTTTGAGCACGCTCAGAACAGTCTCCCTGGAGCAGGGGTCTGCAGGGGCCCCCAGGCCTGGAGAGCCCAGGACTACCGGGGAGTTGAAATTATCAAAGCTGCAGACACAACATCAATTACAGAACAAATGTCAAAAGGTCCACCCAACAACTAAGGATGTTTTCAAACTTCACATGGACACTCAAATAATGTGGACACTCAAATAATGTGCCACAGAATGATCACAGAAGTACAAGTTGCTTGCATTATCACCAACAGATCTCTGAAAATGTTGATAGAAAACTTAAGGTGAGGCAAGACAGGGCCAATATGACTTACAAAGGGGATAGAGTGGTGTTGTGATCTGGCCTAGCAATCTTCACTGTGACTGGACTGTGGACTGCCGGGGAGTTGCGAGGGGTGAGAATGTTCTTCTTTCTGAAGCCGTCCCACTGGGCCGGGGGCAGGATGCCCACAGAGGTGGTGCCAATCTGCTGGAGGGGGTAGTGGCGCTGGGGAGTGATGGTGAACCTGCCCATCATGCCAAGGGGCTCCCTGTACACAATAGTTACCACAGGATTAAGTCATTGCATTCTATACAAGAAACTGTCTGGCATATATAATTCATAAACTGATTTTATATGCCACAAAACAGGAATTTAAACAAAATAGGGGACATTTTATCTGTCAAGAGCCTGAGCTCTGACCAACCATTTGTTTACATAGCTATTTTAATAACTATCAATGTTTTGAAAATGATAGTAAAAGCTATTGTAACTGCAGTTATCATTAAGTGGAAGTGTCTTAATGTAAAACTTCCTATAATGCATGTTCAAAACATTGTTATCGCTTGTCTCATGCCATACAAGCATCCAAAGAACGAATATAGTCTCGAGCACTATCTGAGGGGGAAGGAACACTTCCTTGTAGAGAATGGAGCCGATAGCAACTCCCACATTTTCAAATCTTGGAGGGAATGTTAGTACGTGTTGCGGCGAAGCAGCACGTCTTCTCAATACATTTCAAAACAAGCAACTGTTTTCCTATTTACTGATGACTAGCTACGATACGAACTTTAGCAACATTGGAATCGTTTAAAATCGTGTTTGACAACTGCACTATCATGTGTGCAACATGATCCGTAAGCGCATTTTTTTTTCCAGAATTAACTAACGAACGTTACCGTTAGCACACATTGGCTACTGACAGTTGCAAACCAGTTAGCTACGTTAGCTGATGATGCTAGGCTAACTACCTAGTCACTGTTAGCTTGCCTAAGAACTTTAATGCTAATGTTAGCTAGTTAAACATTATTTCAGTACTCACCCCCCGAATGACAGTCTTTTGTTTGGAGTATAAACAGCGTGGTTGGGTCGCGCCAATATTTCGCGCAGTTGCTCTCGTGCGTTTGGTTTAACACCCGAACTTGCACCGGCTCGCGGCCTCCCCACAACTGAGGGAGGACTTTCTGCCTTCCCAATGTAACTTCCCATGAGTATATCCCGAGGACTGAACATAAATGAGTCACTGTGTCCCGCGTCTTTCCGATAAATTGCGCTCTCGAAACGTCTTTGGCCGGTAAATACTACCGATTCCCTAACATCACCCTTGACCGTACGACTTCTGACTCTTCCTGCTGTGGGTAATCCGTTCGCAATCTCTGGCAACCAGCGTCGCAGCACGGGTGGAATAGTCAGACCATGGCGTGGATGAGGGCCTAACCTAGCGTTGAGTGATTCTCCGCTGTGATAATAACAGGCAACGCAACAAACTCCAAGAATGAAAACTATATAAAAAAAGGTTGGAATATAATAGAGAACTAGACAGAATATTACGATAGCACAGAACACGAGAGAGCTAAGCGCTATGAACCGCTTCTCTCTTGGAGACATGGCGGCACCGCGCCGCCGGAGGACTTTGATATCCCATGATGCCGCGCGTCAACATAGTACATAATTTATTCGCAAACCCCAATCAACGCATATTCTGCGGGAAAAAAATACATTACTGTTTACATTATTGCAAAAATAAATCCTTAAATAATCAGACAAATTAAATTGCTCTAACTTGGGTTTTACACCAGCCGGGTTTTTAAAATCATGATTACTTAGCCAATCATACAGATGATTGCTGAATAAACTCAGAGAGGAAGAGGAAGAGAGAGGCCCAACTCGGCGGAAAATCTGTCTCCCTCCAGCAGGTGGCGTTTTTTCGTTGTTTCGCCCACCAAGCAATGAGTTTTTGGAGGCCAATGAGAGAGTGGACGAAAGAAATGAATGGCTTATAGAGTACCACAGTATAATACCCACAAAACAGTCATAATACCCACAAAACCTAGCGGTCAAACATGGAAATGGTTCCAATCGTTTTTCTCTCTATGACAGGTGACTTTTATCAATATATTTGCCTGTATTTACCCCCAAAAATGAAATACTAAATGCCATGATGATCTGGAGGAGACTGCCAAATCGAGGCAAAAGTAATAATCTCTGGATTAACTATCTAATGTTAGCTAAATGTAGTAATGAATAAATTGGCTAAATTATTTAAATGGAAATTCTGTGAACTGTCTTGTGCAAGTTTTAAATTAACACAATACCTGTTAGCAGAGGTGTCAGCTTGAGATGACGTTCAGGAGTTTGCAGAGATTTGTAGTCTTGCATGATGTCTACTTTGATGTTAATTAGCATTTTCGAATCTGAGAGTAAATAGAGCTGAATATATTGATGAAAGTCACCTTGTCCAAGAGATATTTACATGGTTATCAAAACGTCACGCCAGGGTAAACCTACACGAAACACAGCCCTTATTTTAAGTGTTTCTAAAATTCCCTATGGGAAAAATGAATGGTGGAAAAACAAGGCTAGTAGCATAGCCTCTCTCTTCATTGAATACAGGCGTCAACAACCCTCATCGTATATTCAAAAGAGGATTACAATAATGAGATGTATCCACCAATCCAAAGAAAGGACAGTCCGCCGTGCTGCATTATGGACAACGACTTTAATGTAGGGAAACTTAAATCCGTTTCTACCTAATTTCTACCAGCATGTTAAATGTGCAACCAGAGGAAAAAAAACTCTGGACCACCTTTACTCCACACACAGAGACGCATACAAAGCTCTCCCTCGCCCTCCATTTGTCAAATCTGACCATAACTCTATCCTCCTGATTCCTGCTTATAAGCAAAAACTAAAGCAGGAGGCACCAGTGACTCGGTTAATAAAAAAGTGGTCAGATGACGCAGATGCTAAGCTACAGGACTGTTTTGCTAGCACAGACTGGAACATGTTCCGGGATTCTTCAGACAGCATTGAGGAGTACACCACATCAGTCACTGGCTTCATCAATAAGTGCATCGATGATGTCGTCCCCACAGTGACCGTACGTACATACCCCAACCAGAAGCCATGGATTACAGGAAACATCCGCACTGAGCTAAAGGGTATAACTGCCGCTTTCAAGGAGCGGGACTCTAACCCGGACACTTGTAAGAAATCCCACTATGCCCTCCGACGAACCATCAAACAGGCAAAGAGTCAATACAGGACTAAGATTGAATCGTACTACACTGGCTCTGACGCTCGTCGGATGTGGCAGGGCTTAAAAACTATTACAGACTACAAAGGGAAGCACAGCTGCGAGCTGCCCAGTGACACAAGCCTACCAGACGAGCTAAACCACTTCTATGCTCGCTTCGAGGCAAGCAACACTGAAGCATGCATGAGAGCACCAGCTGTTCCGGATGACTATGTGATCACGCTCTCCGTAGCCGATCTGAGTAAGACTTTTAAGCAGGTCAATATTCACAAGGCTGCAGGGCCAGACGGATTACCAGGACGTGTACTCCGAGCATGTGCTGACCAACTGGCAAGTGTCTTCACTGACATTTTCAACATGTCCCTGACTGAGTCTGTAATACCAACATGTTTCAAGCAGACCACCATAGTCCCCGTGCCCAAGGACTCTAAGATAACCTGCCTAAATGACTACCGACCCGTAGCACTGACGTCTGTAGCCATGAAGTGCTTTGAAAGGCTGGTCATGGCTCACATCAACAGCATTATCCCAGAAACCCTAGACCCACTCCAATTTGCATACCGCCCCAACAGATCCACAGATGATGCAATCTCTATTGCACTCCACACTGCCCTTTCCCACCTGGACAAGAGGAACACCTACGTGAGAATGCTATTCATTGACTACACCTCAGCATTCAACACCATAGTGCCCTCTAAGCTCATCACTAAGCTAAGGATCCTGGGACTAAACACCTCCCTCTGCAACTGGATCCTGGACTTCCTGACGGGCCGCACCCAGGTGGTAAGGGTAGGTAACAACACATCTGCCACACTGATCCTCAACACGGGGGCCCCTCAGGGGTGCGTGCTCAGTCCCCTCCTGTACTCCCTGTTCACCCATGACTGCATGGTCAGGCACGACTCCAACACCATCATTAAGTTTGCCGATGACACAACAGTGGTAGGCCTGATCACCGACAACGATGAGACAGCCTATAGGGAGGAGGTCAGAGACCTGGCCGTGTGGTGCCAGGACAACAACCTCTCCCTCAACGTGACCAAGACAAAGGAGATGATTGTGGACTACAGGGAAAAAAAAGAGGACTGAGCACGCCCCTATTCTCATCGACGGGGCTGTAGTGGAACAGGTTGAGAGCTTCAAGTTCCTTGGTGTTCACATCACCAACGAACTATCATGGTCCAAACACACCAAGACAGTCGTGAAGAGGGCACGACAAAGCCTATTCCCCCTCAGGAGACTGAAAAGATTTGGCATGGGTCCTCAGATCCTCAAAAAATTATACAGCTGCACCATCGAGAGCATCCTGACTGGTTGCATCACCGCCTGGTATGGCAACTGCTTGGCCTCCGACCGCAAGGCACTACAGAGGGTAGTGCGTACGGCCCAGTACATCACTGGGGCCAAGCTTCCTGCCATCCAGGACCTCTATACCAGGCGGTGTCAGAGGAAGGCCCTCAAAATTGTCAAAGACTCCAGCCACCCTAGTCATAGACTGTTCTCTCTGCTACCGCACGGCAAGCGGTACCGGAGTGCCAAGTCTAGGTCCAAAAGACTTCTCAACAGCTTCTACCCCCAAGCCATAAGACTCCTGAACAGCTAATCATGGCTACCCGGACTATTTGCACTGCCCCCCCACCCCATCCTTTTACGCTGCTGCTACTCTGTTAATTATTTATGCATAGTCACTTTAACTCTACCCACATGTACATATTACTTCAACTACCTCAACTAGCTGGTGCCCCCGCACATTGACTCTGCACCTGTACCCCCCTGTATATATAGCCTCCCTACTGTTATTTTATTTTACTTCTGCTCTTTTTTTCTCAACACTTTTTTTGTTGTTGTTTATTTTTACTTTTCTTGTTAAAAAGAAATGCACTGTTGGTTAAGGGCTGTAAATAAGCATTTCACTGTAATGTCTGCACCTGTTGTATTCGGCGCATGTGGCCAATAAAATTTGATTTGATTTGATTTGAGGGATGTGACACCATTCTTCCACGATAAATTCCATTATTTGGTGTTTTGTAGATGGAAAACGCTGTCTCAGGCACTGCTCCAGTCTCTTCCATAAGTGTTCAATTGGGTTGAGATCTAGTGACTGAGACAGCCATGGCATATGGTTTTCATGCTCATCAAACCATTCAGTGACCACTCGTGCCCTGTGGATGGGGGCATTGTCATCCTATGGGGGCACAGCCATGGTAGGCAAAACATGTGATCCTCTGTAGCTCAATTGGTAGAGCATGGCGCTTGTAACGCCAGGGTAGTGGGTTCGATCCCCGGGACCACCAATACGTAAAAATGTATGCACACATGACTGTAAGTCGCTTTGGATAAAAGCGTCTGCTAAATGGCATATTATTATTATAATGGCCTGCCCAACATTTTTATGCATGATGGGATGTTAATTGCTTTATTAATTCAGGAACCACACCTGTGTGGAATTACCTGCTTCCAATATACTTTGTATCCCTCATTTACTCAAGTGTTTCCATTGTTTTGGCAGTTAGGGACAGATGCAATTTACTGGGGGGAGGGGTAGTCCAAAATCGGGGAGGGTTGTCCAACTTTTTTTATTTTTGCTTTGGGGTGGGTTGTGTGTTTTTTTTTTAAATTGGGCACAGGGGAGGGTAGTGTATTTTTTTCCCCTGGTTTACATTCGCTCTTTTGCAGGTTTTACTATATTTTTTTTCTCCCATCCTAGCCAAATTTCCTCATGTGCTTGCATGCCCTTATAACAAGATGTTTTGGTACTTCCCTTATGCTCTAGCTTTTCCATGTGCTAACTTTTACTATACCACAGTCAGTATAGTCTACCAGTCTAATGGTCTATCCTGCCCTCTATCCACCATTCATAGTGACAATAGTGGTAGGTGGATCATTTGTCCATATCTGCAATAGGCCAACTAGCAATCATACCACACACGAAAATATTCAAAGCTGCATCAATTTTTTATATGAATGACAAGAACAAATAAGAATAGCTGATAGGCAGCGGAGAGGCCATGGGCATCATTGCGCATTGAAAGAACAGTGAAGACATGAGACACACAGCTCAAAAATCTCCCCTATTGATCTTGTTTAGGGACAATACAATTATTCTACCTAGACTAGCCTACAACACCACAATGCAATGAGTAATTGCATTATTGTTTTCAAATGAGTACAACATTCTACTCTAGGCTGCAGTGAATATGTCATTTGAATAATGGCACAAAAATCCTGTGATTTTAATGTTTCATTCAATTTGGATCAGTTGTGGGTCTACTCTCCACAGTTTATACGGTCTAGAAAGGCACAGTAGCAGGCCAGTGTGGCTGTATTTTTACTTCTGATACTGCATGCGCTGTCTATTGCAGATCATCATTCTTCCAAGTCCTCAGATAACAATGTGGCGACATATTCTCCAGTCAGGCCCAGTTATTCAGGAAAGCTTCTCTCCAAACTGAGCGGGCTATTCCTCACGCACCTAGAACCTAACGTTTCAATATAGCCTAAATATTTATCATGTCACTTTTTTAACGTATTACCTTTTTATATGTGACATAAACACAACCAGTCACAATGTTTTAATCTGATTGGGCTACTTCAAAAGTCTCCTGTAGGCATGCGCACGTTCATCCAAAACATTATTCCAGAATCCTCCAAATGGCTTGACATTAACCAGGTTTCCATCCAACCTTTTTATGCAGTAAAGTAGCCTACATGGCTGATTAAAAAATGTCACCACATCATGGGAAAGCATGCAGTTCATACAGATTAAATAAATTATGAACTTCACAGGGTGGTGAAAGTGCACAGTGATAAGGCTGATGCTCCTTTCAATAAATGTCGAGGGTCTTATTCTGGTGACATGATGATCGATGCTTGGCTGCCATTTGACAAATAAAAATAATCTTGCACTTTTGTCCATAATAATCTCATAATGTACTGTAGTAGCACTGTATCTGCAAGCTGTTGGCTAGAGCGCATGTGCCAATACCAGAGTGGGCACTACGCAACATTTTTAGTGACAAAACCATCAGTATGCCTAGAGTTGAAAATGTGATGGAAACCCATTTAACTTGTATTTTATATTCGGTACATGGGAATTTAACCTCCAAAGTTATTTTTATGTGCGCTACATATTCAAGCACAGACTTTTATCTGCCACAAGTCAATTCGATGGAAACACAACTCTGATGGGAAATTGCCAGCATTTGGCCGAAAAATATACAATAAATGAAAAGTTGATAAATAAAATTGTACTAGGCCAAATTGTCCAGGAGAGGCTGTCTATCATAGCCTACTCCCCGAATTCGCCCTTCAGCACCTTGCGCGCACGTGCGCTTGCTGCTAAGCAGAGAGGGACAGTTGAGCCTTGGCCAAGGCTACTGTTGATTGCGAAGATGGAGGCCTTTTTCATTGTAGTAAAACAAAACTTAGAGGAAAAAGAGTATGCCTATAGTAAACATCCTACAAGGGGAATTTATACTGAACAAAAATATAAACACAACATGTAAAGTGTTGGTCCCATGTTTCATGAGCTGAAATAAAAGATCCCAGAAATGTTCCATATGCACAAAGCTTATTTCTCTCAAATTGTGGGCACAAATTTGTTTATGTCCCTGTTAGTGAGCATTTCTACTTTGCCAAGATAATCCATCCACCTGACAGGTGTGGCATATCAAGAAGTTGATTAAACAGCATGATCATTACACAGGTGCACCTTGTGCTGGGGAAGATAAAAGGCAGCTCTAAAATGTGCAGTTTTGTCACACAGCACAACTTCTCAAGTTTTGAGGGAGCATGCAATTGGCATGCTGACTGCAGGAATGTCCACCAGAGCTGTTGCCAGAGAATGTAATGTTGATTTCTCTACCATAAGCCGCCTCCAACATCGTTTTAGAGAATTTGGCAGTATGTCCAACCGGCCTCACAACTGTAGACCATGTGTAACCACGCCAGCCCAAGACCTCCACATCTGGCTTCTTCACCTGTGTGATGTGTAATAAATGCTATTTTTATAAACAGCTTATTGCTATTAAATTGCTATAACTAATTCCTTTTTCCAAGACAAGTTTTGACCACACACACAATCTTGCCACAAAATGCACTCACACACACAGACACACTCAAGACAAGATAATTAAACGCACACATCAAATCTTTACTCTGCTGAAACATTCGGAACAAAGGACCTGAGCTGCAGTGTGTAGACCTCCTAGACCCAATCACAGAGGACGACGCCCGAGCAGGGACCAACCAGAAGACCAGATCTGCCAGACTCAACCCACTTTACAAATAGTATAAAACATGTGTGTACTGTTTTTTGGCGCTTTTTCTGGAAGTTCCCTATGAGCTGAAAGAACGAGACCGTGCACGTTTTGTACCAGACATTTTTACTCTGAATAAACTGCCGCTTGTCATACAATTTACCACCTAGTCTGAATCGATCATTCGCCGACTCTCCCTTCTCATATCCCGTTATTAACAGAAACTTGGTAGCAGTCGATGGTTGTCTAGATACACGGTCCAGAGTGGTTAATGTGGATGTGAGGGGGCGAGTTGGTAAAAGGACGATTCACGGAAAGACTGGTGTAATTATTCGGAGGGAGGACAACAATTCAACTCAGCTCGGGAAACTGATCCTAAAGTCGACTATAAAAAAAAAAAAAAAAAAAGGTAAGCAAAACCTGTTAAATCAAACTTTGCATATTGTCGAATAGTCTATCCAAATTTTGATCAGTATTACCGAGTGTGAGTATGAATTCTTGATACAATTTATGCATAGATGACAAACTGAAAAGCAGTGTAGTAAACATGTCTGGGAATAATTAATAAGTCGAGAGTCGGCTAAGAGAGTTGGTTCACAGAGACGGACCAAGAGAGTTAGACCGGGAGGGACTTTGTGATAAAATGTATTAAACCGTCTGGGAGAGTTGGTTCACAGAGACGGACCAAGAGAGTCAGATCGGGGAATGTGTGATAATATGTATTAAGTTTAAACCGTCTGGGAGAGTTGGTTCACAGAGACGGACCAAGAGAGTCAGACCGGGGGGAACTGTGTGGCTAGGAGAGATAGAAATGTGTATTACTTAATGACAAACGCTCCATGTACCAATAGGGTCGGATGTGTAAATGTCAACTGATTAATGTGTATTACTTAATGACAAACGCTCCATGTACCAATAGGGTCGGATGTGTAAATGTCAATTGTTTACTGGATATTGTTTAATGATGAACATTGCTAGTAAAAAAAAATAAGAATAAAATAAAATAGGATTCCGATAGTCTTAAAGTGTATAAGCCTCATCCAAAAGCTCGAATATTCGTTCGGTGAAGGATGTAGATAAAGTGAACAGTGGTAAATGAGTGAGACTTATGAAACTGAATAAGGTTTGTGCAGGGACAAAATTGACATGGGTTGAAGCCCTGCCACTGGTTTTGATGGCTATGAGAGCATCACCAGGGGCAGGGACCCATCTCTCTCCTCATGAGATAATGTAAGGGAGAGAAATGCAAGGTCCACCAAGGGAGGGAGGTCATATGCCCGCCCTTGATGTACCACAGATAGAAATGACTGATTATGTGATGAAATTGACGGAATTTTCTGCAGCACTCTCTTCTCAGGTGTAGAAGGCCCAAGAGGGGGAGCTGACGGGTAACACGCCACCACTGAAGGTAAAAAATGGGAGACTGGGTGAGGGTGAAAGTCCACAAAAGAAAGTGGCTGGAACCCAGGTGGACTGGACCGTACGAAGTGAAGGAGGTTACTTCACACTCAGTCCAGGTCAGAGGTAAATCAGGAGCACCCTGGCACCATCTAACACACTGCACACCAGCCCCCACTCCTTCCAGACCATTGTCTGAAGTAAGAGCTGATTTGAGCAGCGAGAACCAATCCTGACAACAAAATGAAGAAACCCTTATGGGAACAACAATCTCACTCAGGGAGAAGGATAACTTTTTCCCCCTGGGAGAGATTGGGAGTGTCTGAATGTTTGTATGTATGTTTTCTGATAGGAATTGGACTCCTGCTGGGCACTCCTTATGAGGTGTTGTTCTTTTACATTACATTTGAGTCATTTAGCAGACGCTCTTATCCAGAGCGACTTACAGGAGCGATTGGGGTTGAGTGCCTTGCTCGAGGGCACATCGGCAGATTTTTCGCCTGGTCGGCTCGGGGATTGGAACCGGCGACCTCTCGGTTGTTGGCGCGGCGCTATTGGTTACTAAACTGCCAGCCGCCCCATATGAGTTTAAGATTGTGGCGTTGTTGGATAATATGATGGCGGAATAAACTGACCATAAGTAATGTTGTTTTAGACGTAATGTATAATATAGTACAAAGCAAATAGAGGGTTAAATCGAACTAATTATCATGGTAGAGCTAACGTAGTACAGTGAGGGAACTTCATTTTGTGTCAGAGGGTAAAATGAGAAATCATTGTAATATGCTATTGCTGGAAATCTATTTATCATTTCAAGGCATGGAGTAACAATCTGCATTTATGAGTGTAAATTCCACGGCTGATGTGTTGATTGAATGGGTACGATGAGTATTTGGTTTGGTAATGTTGAATGGACTATTTGTAGCGAGCGTGTTTAGGGGGTAAATAGAAAAACTTAATTATACAATAGGGAATCAAAGAGAGAGAGAGTTTTTTGCTGAGGTGAAAGCTACTGTGATTTTCATTTGGTGACGTCACTTGCTCTATGAACTGGAAGTAGTTACTTTGAGAGCATCGCAGATAGTGTGAAATGACTGGCGTTGTCCCTGGTTCGAACACAGGTAGGGACAGTAGACAAAGCTTTCGCAATGAGGCTATATACCTGAAAGGTTGAATTAGATAGCTTAAATAGAAGTATTCTAGGAAAGTCTATGTAAATATGTTATAAGGTTACCATGCGCTCTCCCCGAAGGAGAAAGGGGAGGGTGAAAGACAGTATAGTTCAGATGTCATTAAGCGTATGCTGACCAACGATAGCAAGTATTTGTTTTCTTAATTAGGGCATAATCAGAGAGAACAGTTAAGTAAATTGAATAGCGAACTGAAATGGGTTAGCGGAAAAGTACAGAATAATTGGACGATTTTAGAACGATAATTTATTTTGGTTAGGATGCAAATATGCATTGGCTGTTGTGCTGGGGAATAGCGCCAGCCTGTGGTGGGTTATGGATTTGTTACATAAACTTATATTTTAAACTAAAAGTGATGGAATAGGCTACAATTGTAGCATAATCAGAAAAAATACACCATTTAATGTGAATTAGTTATTACAATTGTTGTTGATAGTTGTTACGGTTATTATCATTGATCCAGTAATGATATAGGGAAGGTAGAGGAAGGCAGGGGATTTAATCTCATTTAGGGAAGTTATATTAGGAAGAAAATACCATTAAATGAGGGAACATTTGATGTAACTGTGATTATATTGGCTAAAAACTCAAATATGACATATACAGGGAGTACAGGAGACATAGAATTAGAAAAGGATTTCCTTAGGAAAAAGGAATTGATGGTT